TAGGGTTTGACCTGGAGGTACTTGGTGAAGATAAAGGGGATCAAGTGGCCTATGTGGAGGCTTTCGCTGGAAGGGCCTCTTCCGGTGTAGAGGTAAAACGGAAACCCTTTTTTAGGGTTTTCTTTATTTTTGAAACTCAAAAAGTGTTTTAATAAAAGATCAAAGTCTCGATGAGAAAAGAATAAACCCCGACGCAGCAAGTGGTGCGCCCGCTGCCCGGTCGCAGACTCCAGCCTGTGCAAACCCTAAACCCTAGACCCTAAACCCTAAACCCTAAACCCTAAACCCCCAACCCTAAACCCTAAACGCTAGCCCCAGACAGCTGCACCCTGAGCCCTAAACCCGGGAAGTTCCCCACCTCCCGCCTTCGTCCCACCCCAAAACCCCAAACCCTAAACCCCAAACCCTAAACCCTAAACCCTAAACCCTCACAGCTGCAACAAGTCCTGGGTAATGGGCTCGCAGCCAAACCGCCGAATGAGTTTTTCGTAATCTATTTTTCCCTCTTCTGCATTTACAGCCCAAGGGGTTATTAGTTGGGAGTCTTGAGGGTTTTCATCTTCAGTGGTTTCCACTCCCGAAGGCGGCAGCAGCTGCGCAAACCCTAAACCCTAAACCCTAAACCCTGAACCCTAAACCCTACACCCTTGGGCCTCGGGCCTGGAACCGCGCCTTTATGCCTCAGAATGAAAAGGAAACACTTTAAGTGCCTTCGAACCAAACCCGAAATACCAAATCCCAAACCCTAAACCCTAAACCCTAAACCTTAAGCCTTAACCCCACACCCAAAACCCTAAACCCTAAACCCTTAAGACCGAGCCATGAAAAGAGCCAAAACGCACACCAACTGCAGAGCACCAGAACAAAGCGCAGCGCCGAGGGTTTAGGGTTTAGGGTATAGGGTTTGGACCTCTGCGAGGGTGGGCAAGTCTTGTTCTGAAAAGTGTTTTAAAAGAGATAAATCTTTTTCTTGCAAAACCTTTTCTTTTAAATCCGAAACAACAGAAAAAGAAAAAGATATTTCGAGGGTTTGCTTCGCCTCGTGGTGTTTTATTTCTTTTATTTCAATCTTCTCCAGCAAACCCGTGCGCCGCAAAATCGGAAACGCTGCAGCGCAAACCCTAAACCCTAAACCCTAAACCCTAAACCCTAAACCCTGGAGCCCGCATAGCGCAGGGTGTGCAAGTCCGAAACCCCAGACCTGCGCTTTCGGCCACTCTGGAAGGAGAGATCGGAAAAGAAACAGCTGAACCCTAAACCCTAAACCCTAAACCCTAAACCCTAAGCCCTCGCTCACCGTTGGCGTTGATGGCCCAGTCGCGAATAGCGCAGATGCGAACCCTGCAGCGGCACCGCCAAACCCTAAACCCTAAACCCTAAACCCTAACCACCCCGCCAGCCGCACCCGTGACTACGCTTAGGGTTTAGGGTTTAGGGTTTAGGGTTTAGGGTTTACGATTGGACGTTGGCGGGAATGCCGAATTCGTCGAGGTAAGAGTCTTTGAATCTTTTGTCCGCGAGGTGTCTAGACACCTCAAAACTTATTATTTCTTTATCTTCTTCAATTGTGTTTTCAATTAAAGCAGCAAAATGAGCAGCAGCAGCAGCAGCAGGAGCTGCTGCTACAGGGCCCAGGCTCACGCTGCAGCTAAACCCTTTCTTCGCACGCACGCACACACAAACCACAAACCCTCAGCGCCAAACCCTAAACCCTAAACCCTAAACCCCAGAGAGTTGCAGGGGAAAATGGGAACAGAAGCAGCAAAAGCAGCAACGCAAGCGAAGACTGTAAGGGCTCTAGTGTCTAGGACCTAGTGTTTGGGGTCTACACCCTAGGGTTTAGGGTTTAGGGTTTAGGGTTTAGGGTTTACGTTGAACTTGACTCTGCGAGTGGTTCGGCCTATTGGGAGGCGAAAGGCAACGCATGCAGCGCCTTTGACAATAAGCAAAGCAGCATCATGTGCGGGGGTTCTTTTCGAGTTGCTGCTGCAGCAGCAGCTGCTGCTGCTGCTGTTGCTGCTGCTGCTGCTGTTGCTGCTGCTGCTGCTGCTGTTGCTGCTGCTGCTGCTGCTGTTGCTGCTGCTGCTGCTGTTGCTGCTGCCGCTGCTTGCGGGCGCAGGGGAGGAGGGGCTGGCGCTGCTCATCGTGACCGCCGCAGAAGCAAAAAACTTTCTGCTGCTGCTGCTGCTGCTGCTAAGGAGCGTGGAGAGGTGCAGCGAGGGTTTAGGGTTTAGGGTTTGGGAATAAGGGGTTAGGGATTTGAAATAAGGGTTTAGGGT